TTTTATTAGATGTTTCTACGTGTGTAAAGTTAATGAGTAACTTTTTAAATGTCTCTTCTAATAACCCTGTGGAAACAAGTCAGTCATACAACCGACCCTTCTGGTTGGTTATTGGAGTTCTCGCTAACCAACCCAAACTAAACTAATATTCTCGTTCAAACCTGTGTCTGACTTGTGTTTTTTTTTTAATCTGACTTCTGATTGTAGTTTTTGGTGTGCTGGCTAATAGGGGTGGGAGGAGAGTTTCTGAATCTAGTGTTTTTTAACATATTAAGGGGTTACATGTGATCATGTGAAATGTATATCTTCTGTTTAGACTTGATATGTTGTTTCTAGTCTCTGGCCTATACTTTTTTCTTCCCCCATCCCCCTCACCAAACTTTTAACACTACCTCTTTTAAAACAAAACTATACCCTTGCCAGATCACCACCTACCCCCTTCTGAAATGAACAATTAAGTGATTTACTTTCACGTCTGTTTGATTTTTGTCTGGACTCCTGTAAACTATCACTTTTGAGGTAGCTAGCTAATGCATTGAACTGGGGCTTTCTTCATGTTGTGAATGATTTGGGGCAAGCTTACTTACATTCCATCAGTGTTTGCACTTAACCTTAACTTTTAAGTGGTTAAGGAAGTGGCAGGTCCAGCAAAATCTGGAATAAGGTGAATAAAAGGCTGGGAAAGATGTTTCACATTTTACTAAATATTGATGATACTCCATACAGCTGTATGATTTAGTTGAAGTGTAGGAACAACCAATAACTAGGAAGTCAGTGTTTAAAATTAAACTGAATATCAGGAAGTCCAGCAATATCTGGAGAAAGTTGATATTTTGGATCCAATGTGACTTTTATATAGTACAGAAAAGTTCATTGGCCCATTTGAGTCAAACTCTTGGCATAGGTATTTTTACTCTTAATTAAAAGGGTGTTTGAATGTTAAGTAAATACTTGCTGGAATTGAGTAGTGTACAATTTTCCTTCCTACCCAAGGATTTATTTGCTTTGAGGGTGGGGGGGGGAGGGTAAAAAGGGTGATTCTGGGTTAATATCTCCTGAGTGACTTGTGAAGAATGGCCCTGGATACAAGCAGAAGTTGCTAGAGAAATTCTGCACATCTGGCAGCATCTGTGGGCAGAAAATTAATGTTTCAACTCTGACTCTTCAGAGTCCTGAGTCACAACTTGAAACGTGAACTGATTTCTTTCAGCAGATGCTGCCTGACCTTGAGTTTCACCTGCAATTTCTCTGCTTTGGCTTTCTAGCATCTGTATGGCTTTTATTTTTATGGGGTCTGGGTACTCTGGAATGGGGAAACAAGGTGATGTTACTGAAATGGGAATGGTTGGTGCTATGTTGGCTGGGAGCTAGACTAGAATTCTAAAGACTTAGCTGTGACACTTATCCTCCTTCTCTACCTGGAGCTGAGGTATGGAGGAAGGTTTGAGAGAAGTTCAGAAATAGCGTTTCCCATATTAGCTCTATTTGTATTGAATTGCCTTGGTCAATATTTTACTTTAGTAGCTTACAAAAACCACCATCAGTGGATGGAAGCCTTCTGCCCAAGATAAGGTATTCCTTTGTAAGGAATGCAAGGGAGCTCTGACTTCAAACATTGAATGTACATAACAAGGATATTAAACCAGAGAAGATTCAGTAAAGATTTACTAAAATGTCGCCAGGAATGGAGGGTGATTTGAGGAGAGTCTGGATAGGCTGGGACTTTTTTCACTAGACTAATAGGGGGCTGAGGGGTGACTTTGTAGATATGCTGAATGATAGGTGCCTTTCCCCAGGGTAGGGGACTTCAAGACTAGGGGGCACATTAAGGTGAGGGGAGAGATCCTGAAAAAGGACATGGGTGGGGGAAGCAGGAAGTGCAACTGATTTGAAAATAGTAGTTTGTGTAGAATGAACTGCCAGAGGGAAGTGTTGGGTACAAGTTCAGTTACAAGATTTAAAAGACACTTGGATAAGTACACAAATAGGAAAAGGATATGGGTGAATTGCAGGCAGGTGGGACTAGTTTAATTTGGGATTATGGCCAGCAGGGATGAGTTGGACTGAAGGGTCTGTTTGTGCTATATGACAGAATCAAATCTGATATTGGGGCAGGGAAAGAAAGTGATCACTGAACAAAAATCCAAAGAACTGTGGATGTTGGAAACTGAACAGATAGCTAGAAAAAGCTCCATCTCTGGCAGCATCTGTAGAGAAAGCTAATATTTTGGATGCAGTGACCCTCTTCCCCTCCTTCAGAAGGGTCACTGGACCTGAAACATTAACTCTGTCTCTCCTTGGATGCTGTCAGACCCTGTGTTTTCCAGCAACTTCTGTTTTTTGCCTCAAGGTGACGCTCTCAATTTGGTTTTGTTTTTGATCTTGTATTCTGGAGCTAGTTGAAGTGACCAGAAATTTGAGGTTTTTTCTCCAGGGGTGTTAAATATGTAACGAGGGGTGGAGGGGGGGGGGGGGGGAGCGAAGGAGGGGTGGAGGGGTGGAGGGGGTCCAAGTGAGACCACCTGAACCACAGACTCTAACAGTGGCTGAGTTAGCTGGTGATTGCTTGTTAATGCTAATACATGCCTTCAATCCTAGACCCTGTCTAATAGGAGGTGGCTAAAACATGGACCCTGAAAGTAGCTTGTACACTCCACTCCTGAGGACAATTGAGGAGTCTCCCACATCCCCAATGGCATCAGGTACTAGTAAATCACTCATGTATCCCAAGGAACAAATCAAGTCTTGATGGTATATTTGACAAGACTGTATATGAACAGTAGAATGGAATTGCTGTAATAGATGTGGGTCAATTGACCAATTTCAATTGTGGTAACCCAGCAACTTAAAGGTAAATGGCCTTAACTTCCCCAGACAATGGGACTGCTTTCTCATTAGAGAGATGGATGACTGGTGGTTTAATCTGAGGGTCACCTCACCTTGGGTGAAGTTGAAGGAGAATCCTTCATAGTAACTTCCCCCAATGATGGGAATTAAGGTGATGCTGTTGGCATCATGAGGTTGTAAACCAGCTTCCGAGTGAACTGACCCTCCACCCACTTCTATTGAACTATTGGATACAGCTGCATTTGTTGAAGATGCTCAAATTCCTGACTTAAATAACACTTTTTGAATTCAGCGTGGATGCACTACTTCCAGACTAGGGCCAGGAGAGCTCCACTTAAAAGCCTTGTGACATGAAATATGAACATGTAAGGAAGGAACTGGAGATTACTCTTAAAATGTTGAATGCACTGCCTGTAGTGTCAACAGAATTGAAAGATTCTTTACCCCCTCAGTGAAAGATTCCTCCCAATTTTGGGAGCAGTGGCAGGGAGGGATTGCTCTTTAAAACAGCAGGTAGGGATGAGCTGAACCACCAGCCCCTACTGTCAAATAAATCACATGTTACATTCTCAAATTCCTTTTCAGCATCCATGAAAATTTTGACCTCTCTCTTGGCTGTTGCCTCCATCACTATTGGTGAGATTTCTATATTAAAGAATTTTGGTCATGAATTTAAAAGCTGTTCACTTAGATTGTCTGTCTTGTTTTGCTTTTTAGCAAGTTTGCATTAGATTAATCTATTTACTTAACTGCACTGCATGCAAGTAGCTTTGATTCCTGTATCAAGCTTGCTTCAAACTAGTAGCAAAGTGTTCCTAAGTATTTAACCACTTCATTATCTTAAAGTAATGTAGTTTTTACTTTAGCTGTTATTTATGGTGACATTAGGAGCAATCAGACTAGATTTAAGTTTGCAACAAATACCTTCTGACTTGTTTTCTTTACCCCTTCCACCATAGGCACTGTCTACTTGGATTCTTGTCCCAAGCAATACTTGATCCCAATTTATTTGATTGTTTCTGGAAGCTTTACCCTGTTCTTTGTGATGATTTCACTCGTTTCATGTACCCCAAATGATGAGAGCAATATTTTGGCTTTCCATAAAATTGGCAGGGTTTGGAGAAGTCTCCTATCACTGTTCTCCTTCATCTGGTTTATAACAGGTAACTACTGGACTGAAACTTGTTTTGTTTAACTTTCAGCTTGCATGCATTGTTAGTACTCACCTGTTTTCAGGATCCCTACCCCATGAAAAATCCTGATTCCCACCCTAGGGGTGGCTCAGGGTTAGCACTGCTGTGTCGCATTACTGCACTGGGAACCCAGAAATAGTAGGGACTGCTGATGCTGGAGTCTGAGATAACAAGGTGTGGAGCTGGAGGAACACAGCAGGCCAGGCAGCATCAGAGGAGCAAGGAAGCTGATGTTTTGGGTCTGGACCCTTCGGAAACAGTTCAAAAGGGTCCAGACCAAAACATCAGCTTTCCTGCTCCTCTGCTGTGTTCCTCCCACTCCACATGAGGGAACGTAGGTTGGATTCCACCCTGGTGCAGCTGTGTGGTGTTTGTGCATTTTCTCCATTGTTTGCATGAGTTTCCTCCCACAGTCTGAAGATGTGCAGGTTAGGTTTGCAAGAGAAGCAATAAGCTAGGGCTTTGGCAAGGGTGGGTAAACAGGAAGAATAAATGCTGGCAGATGCTGAGTGTTCATGCACAACTGTTTGGTGTTGGGAGTTATCAATGAGGCAAGCAGATGAAAGATTCTGAAGGAAGTGGGCAGAAATGTGAAATGCTTGAATTGTGATCTCTGATTGCAATAAGTGTAAATATCAACCTATTTCTGTTTTTCCCCCTCTAGGAAATGTTTGGATCTACAGCATCTATGAGCCAGAATATATTGACAAAACATCTCCCAATTACTGTGATAAAACTCTCTACTTTTTTGCTTTCTGGGCCACCACTGTCACATACATCCTCCTTGGGATTGCACTGTTTCTTGGATTCTGTGGCTTGCTTTCTGCATGTGCTTTAGGTGGGACCCTGCGCATCAAGCAACAAAGCAATTGAATGTTTGGATGAAGAAATCCCTTTTCCCACACTGGGGGAAATGTCTTGAATCTGCTCACTATTGAATATGCCTGCCTATTGTGGGTGAAATTTAGTTCAAATTAGCAGTGCATGTTTGGACCTTTTTTAAAAAAAAACTGAAAACACTGTTCTACACAGATGGAAGTAAAACTGCACTTTGTATATAATTCTGAAACAATGGCTGTTTTTATTTAAAAGTTGGATGTAAAATTTCTAATACAAGCAGTAACTTGATAACAGACTCCAGTCTTTTTTTCTTTGAAGGATTTTCTAGTTTATAGCACAGTAAAGCTGCCTGTCAACTTAAGTTGTACAGTTAAAATTGTCCACCTTTAAATTTGTGATTTGCCAATTGTTCTGGTTTTACTGTTTCTTTCTTGTAATTGGATGCCATGACCTATTTAGACACTTTTTCTTGGCATAGAATGCCTATAGAGCAGAAAGAAGCTGTCTGCACTGGCCCTCCAGTCCATTGGACTGGGAGGAAACCCCCACACAAGGAGAATGTGGAATTTCTAGCCTCCCGAGGCTAGAATCAAACCTGGGGTCCCTGGTGTTGAGGCAGCAGGGCTGACCACAGCCACTATGCTGCCCACAGGATAATCTGAATCAGTGTATTTGTATACTTTGAGCCCCATTCGACAAATTGTCCCACTGGGTAGATGCATCAATCTCTTAAATAGGTTCCTCTTTTAAAGACTTTGGTTTAAGAATGAACTGTTTGAGCTTATTCCTAACTTGCTAAGTGTCCTGGTAGGAAGGGGAATTTAATGAAATATTGGCAAATTATCCTTGCAATCACCTGAATTGTAGACCAACTCTGCCTTGTATATTTCTACTTTCCCTATCTTTCTGGTACTTGAGCAGAAGTATACAAATGTGATTGGATATGAAATATAACTTATTTTTCTGTATTTAAAATCCTGCTGCATTTGGAAACAGTTAATTTCTAGTCTAGTCAGAGATTTAATGGTGTTGGAATTTGGAATGTACAGGATAAGTGGTAAGCATCTTCTAGTGAAGATCCCCACTTGAGGGCTGTGGGGAGGACTGGGTTTGTGAACAGCTTTGTTCTGCTGGCTCTTCAATGATGGGCCAGAGCCTTTTGCATGTTCTGCAATTCAATGCACTAACAATCCTGTTAAAACTTTAAAAACCCAGCCTCTCAACTTCATACTGTTGTGACACATACCATCCAGTCACTGACTCCCTCTTTGAACAGCTCTATTAAACCTCCAATCCTGTCCCATCTTCCTCTTCCATTTCCCTGCTGTCCTACAGCTATCTTGTTGGTGTTGCTCCGAGCAGAGTCTCTTCTGAAGTGTCACTGGACCTGAAACATTAACTGACTTATCGCCACCAAAAGCTGCAATTTCTGTCTTCACGTCTGGTTTCCAGTATCAATAGTTCTTGCTGGTTTTCTCATTCACTCCTCAGATGATATTTATTCTGACTTTACCAGCTTTATCATTGTCTTTTCCTCTGGGTGCTCATCTGTTCTACTGTCTCCTCCTTCCCCTCTGCCAACCATGCAAACACCACTTTCCAGGTTAGCCTGGACTCATGTTAACACTTTTTTCCTCCAAATGCTGACAAATTTGAGCTTTTGTGTCTGCACTGTATTCCTGATTTTCAGCTTCTGCAGTTTTTTGGCTTTGAGGTCCTAGTTTCTCCCTTTTTTTTCTTGGTGCTCCCAAAAGAATTTTGGCATTTTAGATGTGGATAGCTGGTACAAAAAAATACTCTGCTTCTGCTGTTGAGTTCTGAAGCAAGGTCACAGGACTTGAATTCTGCTTTTTCTCTGCACAGATACTGCAGACCCTGCTGAGTTTCATCAGCAATTTTTCTGGTTTAGTTTGTTTTTTCCATTATTCATTCGTGGGATGAGTGTCTCTGGCCAGGAAACACTTATTGCCCTTCCCCACTCCTCCTTTTTCCCCCAACCAGTTGCCCAGGGGGTGCAGTTTAGAGTCAACCACATTACTATGGGTCTGGAGTCACATGTAGGCCAGACCAAGTGAGGATGGTTGTTTCCTTCCCTAAAGGACATTAGTGAAAGAGATGGGGGTTCTTCCCCACAATTGACAATGGATTCATGGTCATCATTAGACTCCTGATTCCAGATTTTTTTAAATGAATTCAAATTCCACCATCTGCTGTGTTGGGATTCAAACCCAGGTCCCCAGAAGCCTCAGTGTCTCTGGATTAACAGTCCAGCAATAATACAACTAGGCCATCGGCATAATAGAATGATGCAATGTTACAACTACGTAGAAAGTGCAGGAGAAGAGCAAGTCTAATCTCTGCTAACAGCAGAGTAGTTGATGCTTGTTTTTGAACTTTTGTATCTACAATCTGATGGAGTGTGTAACTGGGGGGGTGGAATGCTAGTGGAACACTTGCAACTCTTCCTGGGAAGTTCCATGGAACTCCTGGAAGAAATTACTGCCTTAGCAAGTGGTTGACGTATCGGGCCACTCTGCTCTCATCTGTACATCTGCGTGGGGAGGTGATAGTCTCCTAATGTTAATGCTAGACTATTAATTCCGAGATCTAGGTAATATTCTGGGTACCTGGGTTTGAATACCTGGAGTTGGGAGTTCAATGATGACCATGAAGCCATTCTTGATTGTCAAGAGGAGAAAAAAAAAAAAAAAACCCATCTGCTCCACTAACATCCTTTAGGGAATAGTGGACAGGCTGCAGAAGGACTTGGACAGGATAGGAGTGTGTGCAAAGTGGCAGATAGAACACAATGCGGTTATCCTACACTTTGGTAGGAAGAAGAGAGGCACAGACTCCATTCCAAATAGAGAAAGGCTTTGGAAATCTGATGCACAAAAGAAGTCCTAGTTCAGGATTCTCTGAAGGTTAATGTGTGGGTTTAGTTGGTAGTTAAGGCTAGTCAGCCCGTTGAGTCTGTTCTGCCATTCAATCATGGCTGATGTTTCTCAGCTCTCTTCTTCCCTGTAACCTTCGATTCCCCTTCATACTCAAGAACCTATCGCTGTCTTAAAGACTTGGCTTCTGTGGCAATGCGCTTCACAGATTCACCACCTGGCTGAAGAAATTCCTCCTCCTCTCCGTTCTAGTGGGTCATCCTTTCACTCTGAGACTGTGCCCTCTGGTCCTAGTCGCTCCTACTGATGGAACCATCTTCTCCACGACCACTCTATCCAGGCCTCTCGGTATTCTGTAAGTTTCAGTCAGATTCCCCCTCATCCTTCAAAAATCCGTCGAGTTTAAGGGCTGCCTCACGGTGCTAGGGACCTCAATCCCACCCTCGGACAACTACCTGTGTGGAGTTTGCACGTTCTTCCCCGTGTCTGCGTGGGTTTGCTCCGGTTTCCTCCCATAGTCCAAAGGTGTGCAGGTTAGAGTGGATTGGCCATGGGAAATTGTCCCGTAGTGCCCAGGGATGTGTGGGTTAGGGTGGATTGGCCGTGCTAAATTGTCCCATAGTGCCCAGGGATGTGCGGGTTAGGGTGGATTGGCCGTGGGGAATGCAGGGTTACAAGGATGGGGTGGGTCTGGGTGGGATGCTCTGCAGAGAGTTGGTGTGGACTCAATGGGCTGAATGGTCTGCTTTCACACTGAAGGAATTCTATGGCTTCTATCAATTTTTGGGACAAGGACTAGGGGAACACAGACTTCAGAACTTGTTCAAGTGGGGCTGTGAGAAAGAACCAGTCTTGGAGGGAGTGATAATGATGAGGAACTTGCTGCTCTTGAGTGTGGTGGAAGCAAAGGCAATAATTCCAAAAGAAAAGTGGACGGGCACTTAAAAGAAACAGATGCATGGGGCTACAAGGATCAAACAGGGAACGTGATGGACTGGATTGGTCTGGAGAGCAGGCATAAATTCAATGGGCTGAATATGTGCCATAAATCACTCTTTGATGCTCTCAATTCACCAAATATCACCTTTGTTTGTTTTTGCTGTGAGAAAATTGGTTGCCATGGGTCCTGGATTACATCAGCACACTTCAAAGTACTTTTCTGGCCACAAAGAGCTTGGAAATGGCCTGAGGTTGTGAAGGGTGCTATATCAATGCAGGTGTGTTCTTCTGCATGGTTAACTACAGAACTGGCTTGCTTGCAATTCCGTTTGCAAATTCTCTATTGAAGCTGTCATCCTGATACAAACCATTATCAAAAATGACAATTGCTATAATTTTAATCTTTATTCCACGTACTGCAAGGGAAATCAAAGACTCTTGCAGTCTAGCACTGTAATCCTAGCATGAAACCATAGCACAATTTCCAAAGAGAGAGAAGAAAAATCCAACCTTTCTAATTAGACATTCTGAGGCATCATCAATTCAGTGTGTTAATAATATTTCCTGGAACTGATCTTTGCCTGCAACAGAAACTCATTCAGTATTTACTGGAAATCACATGTTGCTGTTTCACAAAAGGTGGGCAGGCCATCAGGGAACTACATTAAGACTTCTGAAAGCACTAATACTTCAGTTGATAACTTAGAGCTTGAAAACGAATCGTGGTGCCTGCCGAACGAGGGTAAAGTTAAAGGTTTGAATGAATCAAAGAGTTGCCACTTATTTTTTCTTGTTGTTGTTTCAATTAAAACAATGTCTAGGTGAAGTCATTGAGTCTCTTTAAGACAGATTCTTGATTAGGAAGAGGGATCAAGGGTTAGGGGGAAGAAGGCAGGAGAATGGGGTTGAGAAACATATCAGCCATGATCGAATGGCAGAGTACACTCGATGGGCTGAATGGCCCAATTCTGCTCCTATAGCTTATGGTCTTTAAATGCATATCTATCAATTTAGTAAGATGGAAATATCCAGCCTCAAAGATTTTTAAAATATGTTCCACACTTTGCTATTGGCATCTGAAGTACCTTCAGGAATATTTTAAGTGTGGTTCTGCACAATTAGTTCAAAATTATAGTAACTGACTCCTTTCAAAGTGAAATGATATGCAGAGAAGGGAACAGGTTTTTCCTGATACAATTAGATGAATTAAAACAGCCAGAAGGTTGAGTGGAACATATGCCAACATGAGATAGTAGGAACTGCAGATGCTGGAGAATCTGAGATAACAAGGTGCAGAGCTGGATGAACACAGCAGGCCAAGCAGCGTCAGAGGAGCAGGAAAGCTGACGTTTCGGGCCTAGACCCTTCTTCAGAAATGGGGGAGGGGAAGGGGGTTCTGAAATAAATAGGGAGAGGGGGGAGGCGGATAGAAGATAGATAGAGGAGAAGATAGGT